GTTGAGGACAAATTGGTCAAAACAGAAATTGCCATGAAACTAATAAATCATGGCAGTGACGTAAATTTCGTCAATCTCTCGGGTAAAACTACTCTCATGCTTGCATCAGAGAAAGATCTTGAGAATCTAGTTCAACCACTGATTGAGAAAGGATGTAACGTGAACGCTGTTGATGGAGAAAACAAAACAGCTTTGTGGTTCGCCTTCCAACACCGATCCATAAAAATACTGATTATGTTGCTAGAAAATGATGCCAACCCAAATAAACCAATTCTAGAAGAGTTTCAAAAAATTTATGTGTTTGATTTTCATTCTATAGCTTCTGCTAATATGCTCACAGCTTTGATCAAATATGGTCTTTATACAGACGCTTTGCCGTATCACGACACATACCCGGGTTTGCTTTGCTACTTTTTAATGGAAACAAAATATGTATTTGACGATATAACATATCTGTTTGATATTCTCTTTCTATCAGGTTCATGCACACAAAAACAGTTACTTTTACTTCTCAAAGATCCACAGATGGAAGAAAATTTTCAATCTGATTGTAAGAAACGTGAATGGATGATCACAAAATGTTCTCAACCATTGACCTTGAAAGAAATGAGTAGAATTCAAGTTTTAAAAAATAGGAAAGAAAACATAATATCTAACTTTGTGAAGGAATTACCAATCAAGACATCCCTTCGTGAATATCTGAAATTTTCAGAGTTTACAATTGACGACAGGAATATTACTATGGAGTTTTTCTTGGCATGCATGATGCAAGATCTAAAGCAATGTGTATTTTCTAAGGATTCGCCAACATTTGAACAAATTAACAAACTTGATGACACACCAGTAAGTCTCAGATCATTCTGGGAGAAACATGTTAGTTAAATTAATAGACTTTATTGCAGGCCTGTGCAACCTACGGCCCGCGGGGTCATGTAAATTTGAAGGAAATGTGGTCCGCGAGCAAATGCTTCGTTTGCTGTTGTCACTGTCGGTGTGGCCTACAGATTGTCGCTGCCTATTCTGATATGGAAAACCTATATATCCGAGCTGTTATGGA